GAGGGTTTTAAGAAAAAAGGGGTGGAGGCTTCTATTAAATGTTCTGTCTGTCTGTCTGTTTGACTGTCTGTCTGTCATTTTCGTGCACTAAATGGACTGATATTGTTAGCGAATAAAAAGGAAACAAATATGCAGTGCTAATTGTTTCTAGATGATCAGTAGGGGTGTAAACGATATGTGACTGTATGGTATGTGCATACACTCTATACAGCAAAAAAGCACAGCTGATTAAAACCTGTCAATTCTTTGCCATATCGACAGACCGAAGGGCTAGAACCCAAATGGCCGCTGGATCGGAAAAGTAAAGTAAAGTAAAGTATGTGCATAACAGATTGTTACGCAGAATGTCACCAAAGGTATTCAATTTTTAGAAGAGAAAAAGCACATCAGCAATACATGCAGTCTTTGCGTGAACCTTCAAGTGATAGACGTGTGGAAATATTGCTCTTTCAACTTGATGATATATGAAAACATTTTTTTAAAAACATATAAAAATATACAATTATTGTTCAGTTCAACACACAATTACCATGCCATTTACAATAACTGTCCAGCTAACCCAAAGACGAATGAACACATATAACAACCGATCTTACCTCCCAAATAATCTGCTTCTGGTTTCAGCTGTGGATCTGCATAATGAATATTCCAGTTTGCGTCAAACCCCACAGAACTTGGGTTCGAGCCCGAAGGTACTGTCAGCTTGAGAGGTTTTGGAATTACACGGAGATCTGAATTTCCCACATACGAAGGAATGAAGAAACGGTCGTATCTCTCCTGTGGGAAGTAAAAAACAATGCATGTGCTCAGACAAACAGAGCAAATTAATGTGAAACCCAAATGAGGGAGGGAGTTTTTGTGTGAAACGCTAACCCTTCCAGTCCCATGCGCGTGTATTTCACCCAGCGCTTGTAATCCCACCGCCCCAAGAGCGTGTATTCTCATTTTGTTTTTGTAAAGTGTTTTACGGCGCTTGCAACTGCATAAGGTCATATGAGCGCGCGGGACACACCTAATATTTTCAGTTGGTAGAAAATTTTGAATTTTGCTCGGGTGGCGGCCGAAGCCTACTCTTATCGATTTTAGACCACCAAGGGATCTTTAACGTGCGCAACTTGCACACGGGCCTTCCGAGATTTT